AGGGTCGCGAGCACAGTGCCCTCCGTCCCCTCCTGCAACTGTCCCTTGGAGGCTACATAGAGGAGGTGGTGCGTACTAGACAGGTAGGCACCTTGTCAATATTTACATCATGCGCAGCCACCTCAAGGATATTAATCAATAGCCAACACCTGGAATGCAAGAATCTCAACACGCAAACACGCGTACAGGCCAACTGCAACGACGATGCGGCACACATACTACATCGCGTTATTGGCTTGGGTTAGTAAATTGCATCGGAAGCAGCGAACTTACAATCGCTACGCTGATGATGACTACGCATTTAACTTACTCGTCTTAGCTTAAATGTCGGTCAAACGTGATGACGCTGGTGGCTTACTAAACTAGCTTGGCTCAGGCACTCGCGACCGCATATGTTAGAACACACTGCGCTCGACGTTCATGGGCTATCCACTGTCGACGCCTATCGCTTCTTCAATCGACGTTTCTTTTCCGCGTGCAGTAGTGATTTCTCATGAAACTGGGCAACTGCCCTCTTGTTATGATCTCGCTATCGATGTCGATCTACTCCCATCGACTCCCAACATCTAAAATTAACATTAGTTCATGGTAAACTCACCTTGATAACGTCTTTGTATGGTAGATTCGGTTTTTCCACGTGCCGCTTCCCTGCACGCAATTGGCCATGAAGCAGCTGTTTCGGTGTCGCTGTCGAATCCATGCGGCGAACATGCCTGAGCCACGTCAGGTGCTTCAGTCCACTGCATACATGCCGCTGTGTCGGAGCATCTCCGTGTCTGCATCTCTGTCGCTCCAGATGCTGCGCAGAATACGATGCAGAAACTGTTGATGGGAGCACACCAGATAACGGACCTTCTTTCGATGCAGTTTCCACGTTTCGCTGCCGTATAGAAGAACGGACGACACCATAAACGTGTATACTATAAGCTTCGTGCCAACAGTAAGCTGGTGGTTGTTCCACAAACGCTTTTCCAACTTTCCAAATGTGACAGCCGCCTTTGATACGCGCATGCGTAGTTCCCTCCTTCATCTGCAGGTCGGTAGGCATTACGTTGCTTAGATAGCAAAATCTTGAATTGGATTCCAAAACGTCTTTGCAATTGTGGATTTGCGGCCGGCCCACGGATTCCGTCCCTGGTGAAAGCTGGAAAATGTAACCAGTCTTGCTTGTGTTGATGGTGAGCCCGAATCTGGCCACTGCCGAAGTCGTGTGTTGCAACTTATCTACGCTGTACACAAACAACGCACTATTGTCGGCAACCAGCAAGATACGGATGGTTGTCTCACGCACTAAGGTTCTCGCACCAAAACGGCGGATGTTCAGCAGCCCACCGTCATTATGGTGCTCCCCACGGACATCGTACAAACAAGCAGCATCAAAAGCGCGAGACATCACTGCATGAAGACAAATATTAAGCAAGGCAGGGGCTAAGACACAGCCTTGTTTCATACCAGAGACAACATCCATATAGCTGTACCCCAGCACGTATACCACTGTGAGGACATTCAAGTAAAGTAACCAACTTATCCGGATAACCAAACTTATCCAATACCAGCCACAGTGCCTCGCGGTTCACCGTGTCAAATTCTCTGGTGAAGTCCACAAACAACCTATGCAATAACTGCTGTCGCTCTCGGCATTTGTCCTGCAATTGACGAGCTACGAACACCATACCTATGGTACTCCTACCCTAACGGAATTCGCATTGTTCTTCCGCAACATTCTGTTCAACAACCCGAGTGGCGGGGCGGTTGAGCAGGATTCGGCGATCACTTTCCCCCCACATCTCAGCAAATTGATTTCAACTCGTAGATAATGCCCATCGAAACGTAAAACACAGCGTTGCAAAAAGATCTCTTTTCGGTAGTTCACATCAGGCAAATACAGCTACAGGACTGCTAAATGCAACAGTAAACTGGTGAAGACAAAAATGAGGACGGTTTGAGCAGATTTAATCACGTGACGTCGTGACAGGGCTAACAGACAGCGAAACAACTTATGTACACGGAAGAAGTAAAAATACTAACAAAAATTAGATAATTACATAAATAAATAGCACCAGGTTATTCGTAATACTCTTGGTGGCACGACTTCTCATCAGGGCCATGGCAAAGTCAAGGGTTGCACAAGCACCCTATGCTTGCATAGCTCTGGCTATGTTAGGCTGATCGCGATGGCTTCAGCCGTCTGCAAGAGGCGTTTCCTTAACCCTTTCGGGTATGGCTTCGGTACGGCATCATAGACCTTGAAGGCATCTTTGGTCAAAATCTGATGCTCACATTGAAGCAAATGTTCCAAAATCGAACTGTTGATACTTCTAAGTGTGCCTCTCCGCAGTGACCCTGTACAGTGCTCAGCCATCCTTACTGACAGATGCCTGGTCGTATGCACCATAAGTGCAAGTAAATTGGTAAACAATGTACGATTCGGACGACACTGACAGTCTGTCTTTAAGACCTTGAGCTATAAAGGGTACGGTCTCCGCAAGTACGTGCGGGTTCGCGGCCGAGTAGGCCCTTGCTAAGGCGTTAGGAAGTCTCCTGTTCAGGAGATCGAAGGCGATATCTCCTTTAAAAGGGACAGAAAGCAACACATCCTTCTCGAAACCGTTGCTACGGGTTTAAGGCTCTCACGGGTCATGGCATGCTTTTTAATGAAAGATTCAGGGTAACCATTCGAAAGAAGCGTTTTCACAATTCGGTCCTTCTCACCCTCGAGTGTTTCAGGACTACAAATTTTGATGGCCCGATCATACACGCAACGTACTAAGTTGCGTTTGTACTTCAGAGGAACGAAGCTCGAAAATTAATTTCGCCCTAATTGGTGCAACAGTGCTTGCTCTCTTTGCTCTTGTACAGTGGTAGCACAATGGCATTTTCCAACTCTGTTGGCACACGTTCTTCAAGCCACACGCGTCGAATCAAGTGGTGCAGCGCATTCATCAAAGCGCGTCCGCCGTGTTTCGACACTTCAGGCAGTATACCGTCGGCTCTGGCGCGCTTGCCGTTTCGCAGTCGAGTAATGCTCTCTGCGTCTCATCCATTGTCGGTGTGTCGGCAACACACATCTTTATCTCTTGCTATTGCAGAACGTGCAATACCGTCCTGTCACTCTCTGAACGGTTTTTCAAGAGACAATCGAAGTGCTTTCACTAGATCTGCAGTCTGCCTGCAGGCACCACTTGAATTAACATTTAACAGCGTTCTCAGCGGCCACAACCTGGGTCCATACACCGCCTTGAAGAAG